GTTGTTGGTGCATATATTTGAATGATAGTGGTATTCACTGGACTTCCTTATATGCGTATAGATATTATCCTGTCACTGACAATATTGTACTTCAAGATGGATCTAGCAATGACTTTTTTAACTGTGAAAGCAACTCCATTTTTCCTCACCTTTTCATCTCCCCCCCCCGCATTTATGCATAGTTATGATTAATCCTACAATGAGTATGCATGATTACATTCAGCCTTCCTCCCTCTGTCAGAAGTTGGTCCACTGAGTATAAAGCTTGTACAGTCCCAACTTACTCAGCTATTTTGGAAAAGTTATTTTCAGAAACCAGGCTCAGAAAGTCAAACCTAGTTCTTTGTCCCACAAAATGGTTTTCTGTTAATTCCTAACTGGAAATTATATTTCTGTCACCAAGGCCTAATCAACAGTTCAAAAGGGGCCAGCCCTTTTGGATAAAATACCAGGACACCACTCAGAAACCTCTACACCACACTGCTGGAAATGGATCAGCCTCAGAGGTAAATTCTCCTGCATTTAACCTGGCAACAAGCAATTCAAAATTGTCTCAGTCCAAAAGTCTGGTCTGTATCAGATACCAGAACTTCCAGATCTGGTATAATTTAAACTGCTACCATCACCTCATCTGAAAAACAGGCATTTTTAGGCCGTTTCAAAGAGGAGTCTAATATCTGTGACAGCCACCCCTATCAATGTCCTGACCTTAGGATTTTCAAAAGGAAAGAGAAGGAGCTCTAGTGGCCTACTGGCAAGAAGCTACACTGCAGTCCCGAAGGCACGTGGTTCAAGGCCACCGCTACTTCATGGGAGAAGGAAGGGCACTCTTCTACTGTGTGATTAACTGCCTCTGAAAACTTGCCAGAGGGTCAGCTATGGGTCAGTTCTGACTCTATGGTACACAACAACAAAAGGAAAGAAATTCTACTCTATAAGCCTCTTCTTTTGCCCTTTTGGAGTTGAGAGAGAAGGGTGTGTGTCAGGGATAAAAGAATCTGAGGTCTAGGTATCACCATGCCAAAACAAAGAAAGTCAGCCCACCGGAATGGATAAATGCTAAGAGTCACTACTTCTTTTCTGTAAATTCTGACTCCACAAAATCCTGCAATATTGAACTATATATAGACCATATTTTGCTAAAACTAAAGCAAACCCTCCATTGCACTGTGTACAAAATCCTAAGACATGACATATATGGCACCAGAGCTGTGGAGCACAGAGCAGCATGACCTTGGGCCCCTATACCAAAGTCCTTTATAAAGTCCTTGAGCCTTTACACAGTACACAAACACTGAAATGTCATGGCTCCTATAAACAGCTCCTAAAAAGGAGAATGCAGAGTTTTAAAAACTTTGATACCACCTCTGTGTCGCTCAGGGCTTCAGAAGGCCATTCCTGCCTGACCACCTTAAATATTTGTGGTTTTGATCTGGCAGCTTCCCTAAAACCAGACACAGTTTTTCAGTTTGAGTCTGCTCATTGTATCTACATACCACTCTGGGAACAAGGAATTAAGGAGAGTGTAGCTGCATAATTAGGCTCCAACACAAGTGAGCTTTTGATTTCCTATCTGCTTCTGAAAACTGTTGTTTCAAATCTACTCATCCCTCCAAAGCCTATGTAGTCAGGTTCAAAGTATGAAAAGCAGCAAGAATGAAGTGACAACTGAACATCCCAGCTACTGGCAGGATACAAGATCAGCAGCTGGGGACAGACTCAGAAGTCCCTCCTCCAGGCCTGGAACAGCTCTGGAGGCCATGGCAGCAGCAGGGCTCTGGCTCCACAGACCACATTTTCCACAATGTTTCCACAGGGCAGCCTGTGACAACCTTGCAAGCTTTAAGTGTATTTTTTTAAGCAGAAACAGCAGTCATAGATCTCCTCTGGAGCAGACTTCAAAGGGCCCTGAAAGCTGCCAGCAGCAGAGAACAAGTACAGAGAGTGTTTGGAGTTACAAAGGTTGTGGGATAGGGATCTTAAAGTAAGAGATGCTCATCCTTACAGGGACACCGACTCTCCAGATACTCAAAGGAAGGTGGGGAAGGGGTCGAAGAAGGAGAAAGGCACAAGCACACAAACACATACACAGACAAAGAATGTCCTAAGTATCCATGACCAGAGCTCAGTTTTAAAAATTTTTGTTAAGTAACTTGAGAAAGCAGCTAGTGGTCATATTTTCCACCTTGACTTTCTATTTAAAAAAGAAAAAACAAAAAACAACCAACCACACCAAAAATTAAAATATTTAAAATGAAGAAAAGGACATGAAAGCTTTTTAATATTACTTTTAACTTCCCTAAGAATGTAAAATTCAGAAAATACAGACTGAAAAATCCTCTTTCTATATGCTCAAAGAATCTGAATTTTTCACAACTAATGGCCGGATACATCTTCCCAAGATTTATGGCCACGATCAAGAAGCTTTCAATTCATCAATATGGTACTTGAAGTGGAAGGTGAAGTCACAGGTGAATCCCAATAGCTCTCTAATGCCCATCGGTAGCAGAGTGTCCAGGCCTGACTATAGCTAGGGTTCTGGCTTCCTCCCTCGGCACAATAGGCTGACTCATAAACCATCAGCAGCTGAAAGGACTTGCAATTCTCAGAGAAGAAACATGTTCACTTGGCAGGCCAACTCGTGGGCAAAACTCCTATGTGCCCAGTCAAGCTCATTATGCACAAGGATCACTATAGAGAAGAGGGTTTCATGAACTCAATGCTTTTGCAAACTTCCACACCCAGGAGCAAAATCACTGATCAGAAGGCATACTTACCGCCTCTCCCCACTGTGCTCAAACTTGATTCTGACGTCACTCTGCCAAAAAGAATGATAGACAGGTTAGCAGTCTCTCTAACAAATGCTGCTCCTGCCATTCCCTGGTAAACCTTGGGCAGTCCTTTAGCAACATTAGGCAGACATCCCTGGTGGCTCACATTTTCTACTCAGATAGGCATTCCTTTTCCAGTGACGTGTAGTCTTCCAATCCTAACCTCAAGGGCAACAAAGTCTCAAGAGACCATCTCTAGGGAACTACCCTTACTCAAGATGCTCTGCTTGACATGCCATTTCCAGCCTCATATACAGTTTCCACCTGGCTCTGGAGTTTCCCCCACATCACCACCACTTGACCAGGATACCTTTCCTTTTTGGCTGTTATGACTGAGTAGAAAAAGAAATGTTGGTACTGATAGAACTACAAGCAAGTTACTTATCCTCCATGAGTCTCAATTTTTCAATCTGTAAATCAAGCCTAAAATACCTAATTTACAGAGTTACTATGTGAAATAAATGAGATGATAGTTGGTATACAGTAAATTATATTAAATGGTTGCTGCAGCTGAAGCTGTTACTCTTGCTGCTACCGCTACATCTACTAGCTTCCAAGATCTCCCCAAGGTCCAAGTTAGGGGGTAAAGTGGAACCCACATCTGAACGTCATATATGGTCTCCAGCTTTATCCAATGTCCATCATGGGCAGCTTATCAGCTCCATGAGGACAGGAGTCATATCTATCTTGTTTTGTTCTTCCAGAACAATGAAAAAGAAATGAAATGTTAATAATATACCGTTAATAATAATATTAATATTATAATTATTATATATTAGGATTGCATATTCTAGTATGTAATATTTACAACATTATTATTATTAAGGTATATAAATGGATTGATACAGTAACTGGTGCAGTGGGAGTAAATCAGTGAGACTGGCTCAGGACAGGGCAGGCTTCAAAGCTACTCTACATAGGGTCACTGAGTTTCAGGCAACAACAATGAATTATAGATGTGCTTAATATTTGCTAAATGGATAAATAGACTTACAATCAGAACTTAGTGGAAACAACAAAAAAAAAGATGGAAAAGTATTAGAATGATAAAAGCACAACAAAGAGGAAGAGACGTGCAAGGGCTATCAACTTGAGGAAGTGGCAGGAAAAGCGAAGAGATACTACAAAAGAACAGTTCGAGAAGAGAAAGAAAGGTAAAGCTGTCAAGAAATCAGCAAAGAATAAAGACAGAGGTCCACAGTCAATTAATAAAAGCTAAACTGGGCTGTGGCTTGGAAAAAAGAAGAGGTGCAGAACTTACAGTGGACACGGCAGCTGACAGAAAAGGGCAAAGGTTGGAACATGGTAGGCCATTAACCCACTGGCGATTCCAAGTCACTGCCACCTTCCTCAAGTTTCCAAGACTGTAAATCTTTGTGGGAAAAGATGGCCCATCTTTCTCCTGAGGAGTGACCAGTGGGTTCTAACTGTCAATCTTTCTGTCACAGGCCAACAAGTCACCACTACGCCACCAGGGATCTTCTATTTCCTCAAGAGACTGGGGTGTTGAAATTCTCTTCATGTCCAGAAAGGATGTCCACTGAACTGGATCAGTGATTTTCATTTACATTCTTAAAAATTGACAGCATATTTTTTAAAATTTATTGAGAAGAATGCAAATCTCTTTGATACCTGATATAGTATCAAACAGCTATATTCATATATCTGCTTCCACTTTATTGTGTTAGAACATGTTAAGTAGCCACTTGACAGAATGAGAGTTCAAAAGCAAACAGTATCTTAGTATTATGAAAATAGCACTGACTTCATGGACTTGCTGAAAGGGTCTTTGAAATCTCTGAGGGGTTCCCAAGATACATTTTGAGAATCAGTTAAATAGAGTATGTATTTTCTGAAAGAACACTTCCTATACCCTAACTTTATTACTATAAAAATTAAATGAGTAAGGTCCAAAGAGTTTAATGTCAGTGTTCGCACACTAAATAGTGGACAGCAAGGCTCCCCTGAGGGATGAGCCTGCAATATGATGAATCATCTTCAACACTGTTATTGTTGCTAGTACCATTAAGTCAAGGATGACTCACAGTGATCCTGCAAACAACAGACCTGAACTCTGCCCTATCCTGTGCCATTCTCATCATCTTTGACACACTTGAGTCCATTGCTGCAGTCTCTGTGTCAATCTATCTCAATGAAGGTCTTCCCTCTGTCACCATTAATAATGCATAAGCTATGTAGTACGCAATTATTGCCATTCCAAAAAAAAGGGGATTTGACAGAGTGTGGAAATTATTAAGCAATATCCTGCTGAAGACTAGCCCAAAACACTGAAACAGTAATACATCAACAGAGAACTGTCAGATGTGCAGGCTAGGTTTAGAAGAGGCCATGGCACTAGGAACATTTTAACCAGTGTTAGATGGATCTCAGCTGAAATCAGAGGAATGTCTGTGTTTCACTGACTATGCAAAGGCATTTGATCACAAGTTGTAGCTAACCTGAGAGGAGGTGAAATCCCAGAACAGTTGATTGTATTTATGTGAAACCTATGCTTGGACCAGGAGACAGTCATCAAAACAGAGCATGAAAATACTACATGATTCAAAATCAGAAAAGGTATGCCAAAAAAATTATAGAGATGCATCCTATATCTATACTTTTTCAATCTGTATGTGGAACAGATCATCCAGGGGGCTAGACTTTCTGAGGAGGAATGTGGCATCAGTATTGAAGGAAGAATCCTCAACACCCTGTGTTATGCTGATAACACACCTTGCTTTACTAAAACTGAGGAGGATGTGATGCGTTTGCTGCAGAATGTCAAGGACTGCAGCCTTCAACATGGACTGAAACTCAGCATCAAGAAAACAAAGATTCTCAACACTGGGTCAATTGGCAACATCATGATAGAGAAGAGATTGTTAACAGATTCAGCTTGCTTGGCTCTATAATCAACACTCTTGGTACAAACAGCCGAGAAATCAAAAGACAAACTATACTGGGGAAATCTGCTGTCAGGGACCTCTCCAGCGTACTGAAAGGCAACAATGTCAGTCTAGAAACTAAGGTGTACCTAATCTAAGCCATGGTCTTTGCAACTATTTGCTATGCATCAGCGAGCTGGACAATGACTAAGGATGACAGAAGAATCATCAATGCCTTTGAGTTGTGTTGGAGAAGAGTACTGAACATACCATAGACTGCTAAGAGAATAAACAGATCTGTCCTAGAGAGGGTGAAATTAGGCTGCTGTTTGGAGGCAAGGATTTTTAAATTCCATCCTACGTACTTTGGGCATGTTGTCAGGAGAGACCAGTCTTTCGAGAAGGACATCACGTTTGGAAGGGTGGAAGGACAGCGCAAGAGAAGACAACTCTAGATGAGATGGATTGACTCAGTGATTTAGAGTTATGAGGGCAGATGTGTTAGAGGCAATGAAATTGGATCAAGAGAGAGCAGGGTTCAGAGTGTTGTACAACATGGGGTTGCTATGAGTCACAAGCAACTCGATGACACATAACAATAGGCACTGTTTTAACCACATTGTTGTTGTATATTGTTTATTGCCATCGAGTCAAGCACAACTCATAGCGACCCTATGAGCAAAAGGCCTGAAGCCTTTCTATAACTATCATCGTTTCTCCAGGTTCAGAGAGTTTCTAGAGGCATGTGGTTTAGGAAGTGGATGCCACTCCTGCTTCCAAACCTGAAACAATCTTGAATCAATCTGGTAGCTCCACCAAACACTGCCCACGATGGTGTTTGGCACACCTATGGTATAGTTGTTCCATTATAGCATTTGAGACCCAAATGACCCAAGATTCAGTGTTACAGCAAGCCCAGATTACTTCATCTCACCAAACTGATCAGTGTGCTGTATGACTTAAAGAATTTTCCTCCAAAATATAGTAAAATGGATTAAAATATAATCCCTCTTATAAGGCCCAACTCTTAAATATAAGGGTCCCCCAGGATAAAATATGGAACGTTTCATGAATTTGCGTATCATCTTTGCACAGGGGCCATGACAATCTTCTCTGTATCATTCCAATTTTAGTATATGTGCTGCCAAGGTAAGCACAATTACATAAATATTAATTCTCACAACTAGGACAATTATTAAACCTATTTTATGGGGCAGGGGTGAAGACTCAATCTTTAACAATGACGTTTTTAGAGTTACATTGGTTCTAGGGGCAGAGCTAGGATTTGAACTCTGAGCTTAGAATTTTAAGTATAATACTTAATTAGCATACTCTGCTACAATTTAAGTGTCACATAGACAAATGAGGTTTATTTTACACAGAGACAGGTCTTCACTGAGAGAAGGAAATTATCAAAGGATTTTCTATCATCTAATTTTTCTTTAACTCATTTTCGGTGGAGGGGATAGAGAGCTCCCCACATCTAGGGTAAATAATGGGGCATGGCCAGGAGACTCTAACCGTTATGCAGCAAGAGAGGAGGTCTGGGGAACCAGCTGGGGAGTTTATGACTGAGCCTGTAGGTGGGTGATATGAAGGCGGTAGAGTGAGGGGCAGTATATCACCATCTTCACCATCTTGTTTAAATTTTCAGTTGAGTGTGAGAGTGTTTATATGTGCATATACATCTAAGAAGGCAGGGTAATATTGTGAAGAAGTTACTGTGTGGACTCAAAGAATATGAGTGTTTTTCACTGTCTCTTTTTCCTTTCCTCTGAAATGTCCTGTCACCAAGGCAAGGACCCACCAAAGCATAGTGACTGAGAAATAGTGCTCAACTGTGACATGCCCATTTCAAGTTTCATATACTACTCCCCCAACGGGCTCTAGAGTTTCCCAAGAATTAACCACATTTTGTAGCCCTGTCTGTCCTCACAATGGGGCTACCACACCCCACATCCTTTTATCTGTTCCTGCCTACAACTCAGCACACTTTGGTACCGCTCTCATTCATAAACTGGGAAGTTAATTTCTACGTACTTCTACTGGAATCCAAAGGAGACTGGTAGCACAATGGTCAAGCATTTGGCTGCTGACAGCAA